CCCAGTGCTCCTTCCTGCCCATGGCAGGGGGTCGGACTAGAGGATCTGTCTAGGTCCCTTCCCACTCATTGATTCTATGATTCTGTGCTGCAACTTGAGACCATCACCCCTTGTTGATTAGAATGTGTTGTTAGGCTATTTTGTGAAGACGATATACCTGGACATGCTACAAGGAAGTGGTGTTGGGAACCAATGATTAACTGTCTCTCAGCCTGCAGGGATTTGAACTGAAAAACAGGTGTAAATCAATAAAAAAACAAATTACTTAAAAAAAATCGGGGAATTTATCAGTGAAAATCAGTAAAAACCAAGAATGTGGAACACTACTTATATTGGTACACCTGATGACTCGAATGATTTTGTTTGACATTTCTCTATTGGCAGAAACACTTACATAGACTTGATTATAGCATGAATGCATTCTTACTGGCATAGTTTAGTTTGCTCACTGGCCAGATATGCACTGTACAGAAAAAAAGCATTCCTTCACCAGTGCAAGCTGCATCTGTACTTTGAAGGTTTGGCTTTGTAGGTATGATGGCAACTTTTTTTCTATTATAATCTGGCTTCAATGCAACTGAAACGTTGTCTGCACTGGAAAAAAGACACTGATTGTGTGAATCAAGACTAATGTTTAGAATTATCCCTGCCTATGTTAGGCCTTCAGTTGCATTTAATATTGCATAATCAAATACTGTACTAATTAAACTTGTTAATCATGTCTGTTGCTTTCTGGTGTAGATAAAACTTGATGGGAGAGTTTGAGCCACTGTTTCACAAGCTCAGGCTCACCAAATCTCACACCATACATCTCTGATTCAGTTAGTCTGTAATGTGCAAATCTTCCTCCATGCTTTCTGTCTCACTGTTTCCAAGCCATGCCAGTGTCTCTTAATTTCTGTTCCCCTGATCTAACTTTTACCTGGTTCCTCTCTTTTACTAGAAACAAAAGTTTCTGAATCAGTGAAACTAAAAAGAAATTGATAATTACCAAATGTGACTACTTAAAAAAAAATAAGGCTTTATTAAATAATTTTAAACCTTATATATAGGGTTGGATTCAGATATGGGCACAGTGCATCTCATCATTTCACGTCTTTGTATGTATGATGGAACTCAGTGACTGCACTGATGGGTTTATCTGTGGGTCTCATTGCTGTAGGACAGCCATCTATATACCTTTAACTCGCTTCTGAATTTGACTCATTTCCCTCTTGGCCAGGAAGAGTGTCAGGCTTAGAAAACAGACAAGTTAGTATCATCAGGGAGAATATGATGTCTTCTAAGCTTAAAAAAAGTTTTCTAGCACTATAAATGTCTGCTGCCACTTGTCCTATAGTAGCTTGACTCAAAGACCTACTAAAGTCAGTGGATTTCTCTGTTCAATTAAACTGCCATGTTTCAGATACCTACTGTGTGTTTCACCTTAAAAAAATATTTTAATTGTTTTAGTAAGAAGCAGTAGTTCTATTCTGAAATAAGCACTTTACCTTGTCAGTTGTCTGCGGGACCATGAGTAGGTTGCAGCTGAGTTTTTAAAAGCAGTGATGTTGATTGCATTTCAATGCTAGTCCAAGTTTATGCCTAAAAATAACACTGCAGGGGTGGTCACAAATTAAATTAAATACCTTTGAATGTCACTTGATGTGGTGTGCTAGTATTTAACTTTGAACTGAATTTAGTTTACAGTCCTTTAGCTATTTTATTCAATTTTTCCAAAAATAGTGGCTAATCAAACCTAGTTTTGATATTTCTCAGCAAAACTAACATAAATCTTTTGCTGAACTCTGGTATGTGTGGACAGGCTGCTTAAAAACTGGTGAGGCTGAAATCTGTCTAACCTTCCTTTCCATTTGCCCTGCTACTGTAGGCAGTGTTTGTTGCTACTTTGACTTTTTTTTACTTACAACTTTTAAACGGCTAAATTAAGAGGAGTGTTTTATCTTAACCTGTCTTTTCTTCCAGACGGTTGAATGTGAGCCAGGATGTGAAGATGATGAAGCTCTTCGGGAAATGGTGGAGTTGGCTGCACAAAGACTCTATGATGCGCTTAGCCCAGTGCACTGATCTAAGTGGCTGATAAATATCTGGGACTCATAAGAGTGATCGTTTTTATACTTGATTTATTTTGAATATTATTTTGAATAAATAAAACATGTCTTTAACTAACCCTATGTACTTATTTCCTGACAAAACTGCTTAGTTCTTGTTACAAATACAGGATTAGCAACCTTACAGCAAATAAATTTATGTACAATATATAAATCGCATGTAAAAGTATTCAAAGTGCATATACTCTTTAATATGCATGTATGGATTTATGACTGGAACTTATCCATAAGTTCACAGGAAAAACATGTCCTGTTGTTTTTAGTATTCAATCTGAAATTTCTGGGGAGGGGGCATTTAAGTGGGTGTACCGACCTGTGTTTTTGCTTTGTGAATATACATAAAAATATCCTTTTAAAGCATACATTCACACCTATTTAGGAAAGCTTTTGAGAGCATGCTGAAGTCTACTTGAAGTCAATGGGACTTGAACATAGGCTTAAAATTAAGCTCCAAAGTTAAATTGGAGCCTAAAAGACTACACAGTAGAAAGTTGCATTGACTTATATGGGAGATGCAATTCACCGCACAGAATTAACTTCAAGAGAGTTTTACCCAATCGTTACCCATTACAGTAGTCCAAAGTAAATAGGCCTCATCTGTGCAGTTTGCTGCATGTGGGAAGACTGTGTGAAAGCACAAAGTCAATGTAATTTTATGCAGGTGTACCAATATGCTGCTATGCAGTGGTTTATGAGATTACAAATATATAATGGGGGGAAAAGTTGATACTAGTTAACTATTTTAGTTCAAATACAGTAAATCACATTGGTAAGTGCCCAAAAAGAAGGTCCCGGGTAATGTGGGGCCCTTGCAGGACGCGTTGGGAAATTTGGTCGTCACACCAGACGGCAAAGCTAACATGTTCAATGATTTCTTTGCCTCCGTCTTCCTAAGTAGGGACCAGAACAGCCACCTTCCTGCTGGGCCCCCCTCGGGAGGCACACCTAGGCCAAGGGTTAGCGAGGATTTAGTTAGGGAGCTTCTGGAGGGGCTGGACGTATTCAGGTCAGCCGGTCTGGATGATCTCCACCCTAGAGTTCTAAAGGAATTGGCAAGGTCATTGCAAGACCCCTGGCACGGCTTTATGAGCGCTCATGGTGCTCTGGAGTGGTGCTGGAGGACTGGAAGAGGGCCAACGTGGTTCCCATCTTCAAAAAAGGGAGGAAGGAGGACCTGGGAAACTATAGGCCAGTTAGTCTTACCTCGATCCTAGGCAAGCTGTTCGAGAAAATTATTCTGGCACACATCCAGGAGGGGCCAGCAGGGGACTGCATGCTTAGGGGCA